TTTGCTAAAGTGATAGATCATTAACTCAGACAATGAAGGCAACGAAGATAAACTCCACCAGACAACAATCCGTCAAGCTCAGCAAATGAACTGTAGTAATGTGCCCCTTTGTATTGCCAAAAAGAGGTGGGAAATATTTTCATCCAGCTGCCCCTTAAATTTTTATTGTCAAAATGGGTTTTAAGAAGAACGTGAAAATCACCAAATCCTTTTTCTCCCATAGGCTGAAGACAAAGCAGATGATAACAGACCTGTCACAGTTAAGGATGCCTCCACATCTTCCTCTTTAACTGAGGGCTCCACGCATCCCTGTAGAGGTCTAAGAAGGACCAAGCCCCTCGTCCCAGAGATTTGTTTTTCTTTCCGGGAGCAGAACTGCCCCCCAACTCCCACCAACCCTCTGCTGCAGGAAGATGGCACCTCCCCTCTGCTCTACTGCCAGGGCTGTTGCCTACAAGTCCATGCAAGTATGTATACGCAAAGGAAGGGTAGCTTCTATACAGATGTGAGTGCATGAGGGGTGGTGTGTCCTAAGGACGTTACTGATGTTGTAAGTATTGTATATAGTTTCTAAACTTTCTAGCCTCTGTTTACCACCTACTGTACCAAGCCACATTTTTCTTTCTACATTTGTCTCTGATGTTATTTTATGAGCGTCATTGGGTTTAAGTATTGACTCACTTCACCCCCGTTTCCTTTTTCCCCTTCGCTCTGTGGTTTGAAGCATTTTATTTCTCTCCTCAGCCGAACGACGGTGAATCCTTAGTCTTCACCACATATATGTCCTGTCTAAAAGCCCCAAGCCAGTGAATCAGGCCCTCACACACACTCTTAAAAACCTCTGGAGCCGTTCTGTTCCACTGGATGCAAAGACACAGTACATTGTACTTTATTGCAGTCCCTCATTCATACACTTTAACAGCCCTAGATCTGTTCCTCAATCCATACACACTGCCGATATCTTAAGTGTTCAGCATGCTTCTACACACACACACTCACTTTTGAAAGGTTTACACACTGACTTGAATCCACAGCTTTGAAATGACATTGCTTCTACATAAGTCAATTTCAGTCTTTCATACCTTGTCGCCACCAGTGTTGATCCATCTAATTTTTTACCTTGGAGCATGGGGTCTCAGGGCATATGTACTGTACTACACGTGCTTTGTGTGAGCGTGAGGAAGTATGGTAGGGTAGGAGTAGGAGGTGAAGTGTATGTCATCTGACACTGATGGAAGAAGTCACAAGTTAGGTATTGAGATCCAAATAATGAGTACAAATTGATGTTCCTTTCCCTCCTTACTGTATGCTATGGCCTTCTCAACTGAACACCTATGAGAGATTTTGGAACGATGTGTTGACATCTCCACCACCATCATCAAAACACCAAATGAGGAAATATCTTTTGGAGGCATGGTGCTCATCCTTCTAGTAGAGTTCAGAGACTTGTGGAATCAATGCCAAGGGGGCACTGACTCTGCTCTGGTGGCCCCACCACCTTATTGAGACACTGTGTTGGTTATGTCTTTCTTTTGTCTGTACTGTATAGAGATTTTTAACTGTTTCTTACTAATAAATAGTCCCTCCGGGTTATGTGTCCAAAGTCTTTAGCCCTTGTATTTTAATCAGCTGCATTTATATCTGTTTCAAATTTAGAATGTTTTTCTGGTATAGGGCACCACCATTCAGTTTTTTTTTAATTAAAGCTTTGTGCTGCTCTGCCACACCAAGGACACAGACCAAAACTAAACAAATCAAATGTGTTTACACAAAGTGGCTGTTTTTTTATACTACTTTGTTTTGTGGAGGCCGTCAGCCATGTCATATGCGTTACAAAGGGCTAGCTGCACAAGTGTCTGAAACAGAAGCATGCTGTCACGTCACTGCAGGTCTGGCTGTGGCTGGCTGATCACACAAAGGGCTTTGTGATACACTGATGAATACACAAACAGATGCATTAAAAAACAGATATACTGTAGTTCTTCATCCTGTGCTTCTTGCTCAACCACAACATTTCCATACACACAGAACCAACACTGTAAAGATCTTATTTCCACTGCAATACTGTGCATTTTTTGCATGGAACAGTACTGCCTTTCTGTCAAGAATCTTTGGAAATAATGTGGATGTGGCATTTTATTCTGTTCTTTTGTAATTTGATTATAGAGTTACAATTGGCATCATCTGTTCTCATTGAATGGTTCATTGATAGATAATAAAGCAGTTCCCTTAATTTTCCTCCCTTGCTGTTTCAGGTTGTTACGGTGTTGCTGCAGATGACGTCCGTGAACAGTGGTCATGTGATCGCTGTACAGAAGGAAGCCTTGCAGCGGTAAGACAATGTATTGCTTGTACAATGCTACTTTCTCTTAAACGTTTGTTTCAATGATGCCTTAGATGGAGTGTACTTGTACACACATTACTTTACTGGCTATTTGAAAAATGTCTACTGAAAAGAGTAACTCATGCACACTGACCCCCCAAAATAAGATTTGGAATGACAACCTGATGATGATTGATCTTCTGAAAAGCCAAGAGTGATAAGGAGCTTCTGGTGTGAGTTTGTTTTGAGTCTCATAAGACCCTCTAGCAGCTGTGTATATATATATATTAAAAAAAAGAAAAAAAAAAAAAGCTTGACTACCTTTAAAGGTGCAGCCTTTAAACATGTGGCCCACAACATTTCATGCTTAAAATTAAGCTCCCCTGTAAGAAGCAAATTCATGTTTTCCTATCATCCTCACTGTTCCTCTCACAAAGGTGGCATTTGTATTGTCTTCATTACTTTGTGTGCATTACTTGGCTTTACTAAAATAGAAAACATGTGCCAAGAGATTTGAATTAAAGGTACTGCTTTTACACATTTTGTCCTAAAAATTAATTTACCCCCACCCCACTACAATAATTAAGAGCATTTTCCATGAATGTGACCTTGGTTCAGACAACACAACTGAAATAATGGAGGTGCTTTATTCAAACAAGTTTGAATATATTGGTGAGTGAACGTGAAATACCATCTTTCTGTCTTGTGTCTTTGTTTTCTCAGGAATGCTGTCTCTGTAACCTCAGAGGTGGAGCTCTGAAGAAAACCCAAAATGACAAGTGAGACAAGCTTTTGTTCTGTGGTTAGCTCTGTATACTGATCACTGATGTCCAGAGCTCAGAAGAATGAATTGTCTTTGTGATTTAATTGTCATAATATTTTAGCTTGTTTGTGTACATGTGTTATGCATACATAGATGGGCCCACGTGATGTGTGCAGTTGCTCTGCCAGAGGCTAGGTTCAGCAACGAAGTCAAGCGGAGCCCCATTGACACCAGTAGCATCCCCATGCAGCGATATAAACTGGTGAGGAGACGCACACAGACACAGATGTAGTGCTGGAATTCCCCAGGTCCTTGAGGACTGGTTTGATCTAATTAATGAAGTGTTCACAGATCTAATTAACAATGTGAGGCAAGCATGCCTACAATCAAAGCTAGATAATTAACCACTGGTGGGTGGAAGAGGGGTTTTGGGTGTCTAGGCCTGTCTGTGTTTGTCTATACATGTGCCTGTGTCCGTCTGCCTATGTGTATATGCATGCATTTAGTCTGTGTGTGCGTGTGTGTGTTTGCTTAATGAGAGAGCTGGAATGTGTCTCAGAAGACCTGACATGTTGCCACTGTAGTTAGCTCTGTGCTTCAGGCACCATGATAGCTCAGTAGAAGTGTTGAAGAGGGACATGCTAACACAAGGTGGATAACAGAGATGAATACTACCTTCCATTCCCAGCCTACATTATTGTTTCAACAATGTTTTAAGCACATTTGAAATGAAGCTCAAGTCTTTTTAAGAACTATAGATGGGTGACAAGTGAAAGGAAAATCCAACAAAGTGGTCTTTATGCAGTGTTGGGCCACCATGTGCCACCATAAAAGCTTCAGTTCACCTTGGCACTGATGCTAAGTCTCTGATCTCTTCTGGAGAGATGAACACCATTCTCCCAAAAGACATTCCCTGATGTGGTGTTTTGATGATGGTGGAGATGCTGTCTAACAAGCTGGTCCTAAATCTCCCATAGGTGTTCATCTGGGTTGAGATCTGGTGACTGAAGGGCACTGCGTTTGATTGAGATGATTTTCATACTCCTCAAACCATTCAATGACCCTTCATGCCCTGTGGATGGTGGTATTGTCATCCTGGAAGAGACCACTCTTTTATTCTGGTTCCTTTAATTTGTCCCCGGTCTGTATGGGTGATTGATTATTACATGGATTGGGCTTCAAACACTCAAAAACACAATCTGCTAAAAGTTTAGTGTCCAAGGCTACAAACACAAATGTTATGAAGACATAACTTACATGCATAAAATGCTGTATTTGATTGTCAAGGTAGTGTAAAATATACACTCAGCTTATATTTTATTAGGCCCACATAGCAAAAACTAATGCAGTCTGATACAGCTCTCATGAAATCCCCTACTTTCATCAAGGTGATGATGTGTGATAATGGGTTTTTAGGTGTTGATTAAACTGTGCGCTTACTTTGGAAGATGTAATCTGTGGTGCTGTTGAAATGTACTGTATATTATGTCGAGATTAA